CTGATCTAGAGCAGTCGCCCCCAAACCCCAGGTTGTGGACCAGTACCGGTCCGTGGACGTACTGGGACTGGGGTCCACAAGAAATAATTAAATATTTCTGTTTTATGTATCATCTGAGTCTGAAGGATCTTTTATTTTGAAATTCCTTTAACTGGATTCTCTCGGGTTATGTCTTGCACACCAATGCAAGCAAAATGAGTAAGAAACAGATCAGATGTCTTTGGAAAGTTTCTTTGCAAAGGGGAAAAGGCCCAGAGAAGAGACAGGAGGATGGATTTATCCCGGACCGGGAGGTGAGGCAAACATTACAAGCCGCTCTGTGTAACATGCGGCGACCGGCTGCTAATGAGGCAATGAAGCTTCAAACTGCTTCGCCACTAGAGACCCAGCAGGCTGTGGATATAAGCAACACTTTGGGTGTCATTGTCTCCATCACTCCCAGATGGGACCGTCTCGGTGCAGAGAAACAAGCTCAGGGCTCCGTTAGTCAGAAGGGGGAGCTGCAGTTCAGGGGAACTAGAGGAATTCTCCTGGAGGAACTGGTTCAGTTTTGAGCTTCAGATTAGTTAAGATTACTTAAGGACCTAAATCTGAGTTTACCGCCACAGGGAAGGCGGAGCTTAGCGGGCAGCCCGAACCAGAGCCGCGACAGTCTGATGGTCAGACGGCTTCTGCCAGTGAAGGACCGCCTGCAGACGACGTCGTCAAAGTTCTGGTTGACTTTGAAGTCAAAGAGGTGATGGATTGACCAGGTCAGAGGTCACCTGCTCCTGGTCGCTGCTCCACCGTTCTGCTTCCTGTTGCAGGTGTTGCTGTCCCTCAAGAAGCGGCTTGACCAGCAGGAGGCGCCGTTCCTGGTGTTCCAACTCGACCAGCTGGGAATCCACACCAAGGTCCGCATGTTCGACCTGTGCGCCACCACCTACATTAGACAGGTTTCCATGAAGAGCCTAGAGTTCAAAGGTCAGACTAGAACTGGTCACTGGGTTCTACTGGTACCTGCCCAGTAGAACCCGGTCATGCTTCAGGTTTCTGTTGTTCCCCCTGGTTCCAGACGCCGGCGGCGACCCGCTGTGTCTCATCAGCTCCTCGGCTGAGTCCGGGGCCGAGCTGCTCAAGGTTGAGTTCTGCAAGGTAGAAGAACCCGATGATCCTGATGGGCTGGTTCTGATTCTGTTCTGGTTCTGGTCTGAGTCTCTCTGCTCCATGTATTCCTAGGCAGACCGCACCGGACCAGAGTTCTGCTCCGTCTACAAGAACACGGAGCAAATGATCCGGGTGAGTCCGACCCGGGCTGACGAGGCATTCAGGGTCCTTCCAGGTGTCGGATTTAATGAACTTTAGACCAAATCCTGCTGGACCGGCAGTCTGTCCATCACTGTAAAATCTCAAAACTCTTGACTTCAGTCTTCCTTCTGGATCAGTGCTTTACAGTGTTCCTTAGGTCTTCAGGTCTTCTGCTCTGAGTGTCCTCAGTCTCTCCTGAGGACTTCAGGGTTTGTCTTGGTGTGTCCTCAGGTGATGTTCTCGTCTCTGGACGTCCTGCTCCACACCCAGGCTCTCCTGTCCGCTGCCAACTTCCTGTCCATGTCTCTGTCGTCGTCCAGCAGCGTGCCACCTGCAGAGAAGGACGTCCGGCAGAAGACGGAAGACAAGATGGCGACTTCCAGGTCCGGTCAGTATCTGTCCATGCAGCCTGAGCTGAACCCGCGGTACGTTCAAAGCTAATCTGAGGCCGCGATGTGTCACACAGGTGTCCCGGTCTCGCATGCAGACCCAGAGGTGGTGGACCTGAAGGCGACGATGACGCTGGGAGCCTTCAACATCCTGGTGTGTGACCAGACCTCCAACATGGCTGACATCAGAGTCACAGGTGAGGACCGTTAGCCTGACGCTGCAGCTGCATCAGGCACATCCTCTGACCTGTGATTTCGTCCTCAGGGTTGGACACCTCGCTGCTGAGGCGAGGCGATCAGACACAGATATCGGCCCGGCTGCGGGACGTCGTCGTCCTGGACGTAGATCCCAGGTCCGTCCACAAGGAGGTGAGAGCGGGTCGCCTCAGGTTGCAAGGATTGAACCAGATTCACTCCATAGAGGACTCTCTTGCTACGACCACAAAATACCAAGAAGTTGCCAATGAAAGTGTGACAAGTGTGGCATGCATCTATTTTCATCCTGAAGAGTCAGAAAGCAGAACCTCATCTGGCTGCAGAGCCTCCGTCTCTGTAGGCGGAGCAGGCATCTCCGTCTCAGCAGCCATGTTGGTGACAGCAGAGCGGCCCCTTGCGTCCCCTAATGTCTCTGTGGTCTTCCCTGTCCTGCAGGCCGTCTCCATCGTGGGAGACGAGGTGTTCAGCTTCAGCATGAGTCTGACTCCCAACGCCACCGAGGGCGCCGGCTACGCCGACACCTCTAAGACGGACGGCCAGGTGAAGCTGAGGGTGGGGTGTATCCGGGTGGTCTACCTGCACAGGTTCATCATGTCTCTGCTGGTGAGTCTGGAGGACAGAAAGACGTCCTCCTGTTTTCTCTTGGACCGGTTAGCCTCATTTTCTAAGCTTTTGTCTTTTTTCCCTCAGAACTTCAGCAACAACTTCCAGGCAGCAAAAGAGGCGCTGAGCTCGGCGACGACGCAGGCTGCAGAGAAAGCTGCGTCCAGCGTCTTGGCCCAGAGGACGTTCCGTCTGTCCTTGGACGTCTGGGTGAAGGCTCCCCTCATCATCATCCCCCAGTCCTCCACTTCCCATAATGCACTTGTGATGGACCTGGGTCTCATTACGGTGGGGAACAGTTTCTCTGTGCTGCCGGCGGGAGAGCGCCCCCTGCCTGCTGTAGTCGACAACATGGCTGTGCAGCTGTCTGAGCTGCACCTGTCCAGGTGAGCCGACCAGAGTCCGACCGGACCGGGTCGCCGCCTGAGAGAGGCCTAAAGAGCTGACCCACGTTGTCCCGCTGTCCTCCAGAACCTGGTTGGACTCCGGGTCCGAGAAGCCGAGCGTCGAGCTGCTGAGGCCGGTGAACCTGCAGCTCAGCATCAGGAGGAACCTGGCGGCGTCCTGGTACCACAAGATGGCCGCCGTGGAGCTGGATGGAGACCTGAGGCCCACGGAGGTATGGGGCCAAGCTCGAGGTCAGAGGTCAGAGCTCAGGTCAGGGTTGCCTCCAAAACAGACCCACATAATCACTCCTCCACCACCATGCTTCACAGCATCAGGTGTTTCTGCTGATATGTGGGTCTGGTTCTGCCCGTTCTGGTTCCCCCCACCTCTCCTGAAGGCTAACAGGCTAACTACCCCAGGCTAGCTCTGCAGGTGAGAAGAGGCCCAGGTTCTGCTCCTGGTTCTGACCCGGTATCTGTGTGTGCAGCTGGAGCTCAGCCAGGACGACCTCAGGGTCACACTGCAGATCCTGACGGAGAACCTGGCAGAAGCCGGCGGTCTGAATGGCGGCGCCGCCCCAAAAGAGGTCCACCTGCAGGTTCCAGCGGTCGCGGCGCCCCCTGCAGGTTGGACAACTGCAGGCGAACCCTGAACCGGGCCGGTGTGGGTCGCATGTGGAGTTAAGTCACTTGTGTTCTACCTGCCCAGGTGAGCCTGGGAAGCCAGCTGGGAGAGGAGAGCGAGATGAGGATGAAGCCGTGGAGACGCTGAAGTTTTCCTTCAACGTCCAGTCTCTGGGTCTGGTTCTGTACCACGACGACCCGAAACAGGTGAGTAAGGCTGGATCCGGTCCGGCTTGTTCCTGTCTAGTTGGTCTCACTGTTGCACCTGTTCCCAGCAGCCCGCGGGCCTTGGCCACCAGCAGAACCTCAGACTGGGCCAGCTGGTTCTGCGTCTGATGAAGGCTTCAGGACGGGTCCAGTCCAACGGCAGCATGGAGGTCAACACGGTTCTGACGGCGTGCACTCTGGACGACCTGCGGGCCGGACTGAACCGGGTCACGTCACGGTAATGATCACATGACTGTCTGAACAAATGAGACCCCAGACAGAACCGGGTCACCAGAGGTCCAGACCCTCTCCTTGGAGGTTCTGCAAGTTTTCTTTCCGCCCCAAACGGGACTGGAGGAAAGTCATGTTTATCCAGCGCCAAGGTTCTGTTGGTTCTTCTGGACCTCAGCATAACAGCCTGACATGTTTTTTCAGCCGGCGGCAGCTGATTTGGTGTTAGGCTCGTTGTTTCGTCTTTAGGAGTCAGAAACCATTTTCTGTAAAGACAGAAGGAGGTTCTCGAAACCCAATTCGGGCCTTCCTGTTTGGGGCGTTTGAAACCGGTCCGGACTCTGAGCTTCGGTCCGGTCCTCTCGGAAGACGTTGGTCAAGTTCTGCTGTTTTTAACCAGATTGAATCGGGAAGACGTCTGTCAGTCCAAACCTGGTTGGTCCGTGAAAAGTTCTGCAGGTTCTTGGTTCTGACATGTGGAGCATTTTCTCCATCAGACCCGGTTCAGGAGTTGCTCCAACCTGAACTTGACCCCAAGCTGGACTCGTCCGTCCTTCAGCGGTTTAGGTCCGCTGAAGTGCAGTGGCAGTCCTGTCTGACTGAAAAGCTTTATCCATCTTGTATTGGCCGCTGGTTCTGGAGTGTCGGCTGAATTGGACCTGGCTGGACTCGGCGTCTGCATCTCTCCACTGGGGGTTCTGGTCTTGACCGGTTCTGGTCCAATGTCTGGAGAGTCACCCTGTACTGGTGGAAGTCTTCAGGGATCTATTCTGGGGTCACTTTTCATTTAGGTTTATGTTTCCTTTGGGTTTAATTTGTCAGAATTGACTCTCAGATCCACGTCCAGCTCTGGGCTGCGGCTGTTTGGGTGTCTAATCTCATCTAGAGTCATATCTGGTCATATCTGGCTTCAAACGTAGCACATAACAGTCAGATAAGGCTTTTACATGTTGGTGTCACAGCTAAATCCTGAATATACCCAATTTGGGTTGTCTTGGCCC